CTATGTATACGATTAAAAACGCAGTGGCAAATGCTGTGACGAACGAGCGACGCATGGGGGCCTCGTTGCTCCGTCTTCATTTCCATGATTGCTTCGTTAATGCACGTTCACTCCTTAATTTTGCTTTTATTTTTGTGTCTCACACAACAGACATAAATTGCATTAACTCCTTAATTTTGCTTTTATTTTTGTATCTTACACAGCTGACACTTCATATATATATATATATATATATATATATATATATATATATATTAAGTTGTGGACTAATAATGTTAACAATTTCGTTGATTCATTTATTTCAAAATATTCATGTATTTGTTTTTAACAGGGATGTGATGGATCTGTATTATTGGATGATACGTCAGATTTTACTGGAGAGAAATCAGCAAAACCAAATTCAAATTCACTAAGAGGTTTTGATGTGATAGATAAAATCAAATCTCAAATAGAGAAATTATGTCCTGGAATTGTTTCATGTGCTGATATTGTAGCTGTTGCTGCACGAGATTCTGTTGTGCTCGTAAGTATTTTAGCTAGTTTTAAAAAATAGCCCATTTCCTGACTCCCTAAAATAGATACATCTTCAAAAATCATTGAAAAATAGTCAATTTGTGAATTTTACAATTCTGTCATTAAAGTAATAAGCTCGAACTTAAAAAAGTAAAAGTTAATCATAATATTGTGGATGACTACACGACAATGATATGGAATTTCACTCTTCTTAAGTTTGAAATTCACGATATTGTCATACATTTCAGAATTAATGATATTTATGTCATCAAACTTTCACTTGTTAAAGTTCAAATTCCATGATATTGTTGTGACTTGTGGTATTTCCACATCAAAAGTGGCTATTTCTTACACAAACTTCCAAACACTGGCTATCTTTCAAAAATCAGTTTAATAATGGCTATTCCATACAACTTTACAATTTCAAGTTCCATAATAGTTTGGGCCATAATTATGATTAAATTTGTTGGTCTCAGTTAGGTGGGCCTTCATGGACAGTGGAATTAGGAAGAAGAGATTCAACAACAGCAAGTTTGGATACAGCAAATAGTGATATACCTTCCCCTTTATTGGATCTTAATGACCTTATTACTAACTTTGCCAATAAAGGCTTCACTGCTAAAGAAATGGTTGCTCTTTCAGGTAACAAACTTTTTAGTTTTTCTTATTAAGATGATTTTGCGTAAAAAAAATTTAAATTTATAACGATAACATATCCAGCTTAATCCCACAAAGTGGGGTCTGGGAAGGATAAAGTATATATATGTATACATTATCCCTATCTTGGAGATGGTAGTAGCATTTTTTAATTGAAAATAATAGTTCGAAATGAGTATTTAGGTCCGAAAATGGACAAGTTATATATATAGACAACATAAGTATAATATTTTTAATACAAATCACTACGATTTAACAATATGTAGAAAACCACTTGCCTTTATCTTTCATGTTACTAATTAATTAATGTTGTTAAAGTTTATATGGTCAGTTTATAGAAATTGAATCGAAAAAAATAAGAAGAAGGAAAGTTTACTAATTGATGTGTATATTTTCATATATAAAGGTGGTCACACGATAGGCAAAGCACAATGTACAACATTCCGACAACGTGTATACAACGAAACAAACATCGATTCATCGTTAGCTACATCGTTGAAATCCAATTGTCCTAGTACTGGTGGAGACGATACCCTTTCATCACTAGATGCAACGACCCCTGTATTATTCGACAATCATTTTTATAAGAACTTGGTTAACAATAAAGGGATACTTCACTCAGATCAACAACTATATAGTGGTGGTTCTACGGACTCTCAAGTGAAAACTTATAGTACTAATCCTATAACGTTCGATGCGGATTTTGCAAAAGCTATGGTTAAATTGGGGAATTTAAGCCCACTTACTGGAACTAATGGCCAGATTCGTACTAATTGCAGGAAAATCAATTAATTAAGTAATTAGCTTGAACCTATATAAATTTTAATAGTATGTGAGTTAATTTTAAGTTTGTGTTGAGAAAAAAAAACTCAACTTTAATATATAATGTGTTTGTATTATTTGTTTTAAGAAGAAACAAATGTTTGCGTGAATAAAGACTTTAATTTCCGGTTGTGTTTATTATATATTGTACTTTCACGTTATTGGTCATCACCATGGAGTAGTATTTTTATTTATTTATTTATTATTATTATTATTATTATTATTAATATTATTATTTACAGGGTTAATAATATTTTTGGTCCATCGATTATTAATAAATTTTAATTTCATTCCTATGGTCCGTTTAAGTAGTACATTAAAGTATTCATTTTTGAAATAAATAAATAAATTTGGACCATTTTTGGATTTATGCGTCTCATTCTTGAGCAGGGGCCATGCTAATCTTTTTGTATCATTCCAATTTTATCGGGTGTCCAAGAAGGGACATTAAAGCTTCAATTAATTGAATTGTGTAAATTTAATCTACTAGCTTGTGAATATTAACAAATTCATCATATAATTATTAATTATTTGACTTTTTAATTACTTATGTGTTATGTGAAGTTTGTGTTGTTACACCGTATTTGACAGTAATATTGATTGATTAATAATAGTAAAATAGAATACATTTTTTTACTTGAAATGACCTTAAATACATATTGTTGGTATAGTATATTACAAGTACAATAAATTATCGTTGAAAATAAAATATCAAAAAATGAATAAATAATCATTTAGATTGATCTGAGGTGCGGATATATCTTACTCTTTTTAAAGAGAGTTAAGTCCACTGCAACATAATCTACACTTATCCAACAGATTATTTAAATGTCACTTAATTGAGTTTCATATTTCATAACCTATTTAAAAAATTCGGATTATTTTTTAGTTAAACCACCAACATCTTGAGATTGAAGAACTATTTTTTTATAAGAATAATCTTGAGAAAGAAAGAAAAAATAAAATAAAAATGACTCTACCGCCTGAATAATTAACACATATATATTATCTACATTTAATTCTGTTTTTATGTTAATATTCATCTAAGTTGACTTACATGAATTGAAAATATTTTAATTAAATGGCCATCGTATAGTTTATAAAATCTACATATTTTTCAAGACAAAAATGGGAACCATATACGAATTAATGGCTGCAATTGCATTGAAACTAATTAATAACCCATGTGATCATGACTTAGTAATATGAATAGTGTCTGCCTAATTTTATAATATTCCAATAATATTTTTATGTAAACATGTATATACTAAAATCATTTTTAAAATATAGTCGTAGCATTCTTTGACTGATCCAAACCCTCTCGACTTAGATAAACTTAAAAGACAGCAATAATAATAATAATAATAATAATAATAATAATAATAATAATAATAATATATCAAATGTAATGCATCAAGTTACTGTGAAATACTTATAGGTATTTAGAGGATATCTTAATATATATATAGTTTTTGACGATTTCTATATATGAACCTTATATTATATTTTAGATCTGCCTCTCTTAACACGTATGTCAATGCGCTAATCGGCCAATGATAATCTTGTCAAGAAAAAAAACAGGTGACATGGACAGGAGAAAACTTCACAAAATGCGCTTTGACAGCGAGCGAAATCTTTGAAATTCAATCAGAACAACATTGGGTGGGTAGGATATAGAATTCCTATCTAAGTCGTGTGGATCACAAAATGAATCTATGATTTCAAGTATATTTCCATCGTATTTTTTTTTCTATGTTAGTATAACTTATTTCTTTTATATTACTTGCCAATTTAAAAATTAATTTAGAATAGAGTGGCTAGCTAGGCTATGATATAACTAATCCTACTCTTTTGATGAGCCCCACACGCCAAGAAAACCCAAACCACATACGTAATATTATATAAAAGATACATTCCTTGCTGAAATTTTAATTAATTAATTGACACCATATATAACTAACACACTTGTCGAATGATAATTATCCCACACTTTTAATCGTAAGTCTTTGAATTCGACTCACTAAAGGGAGCAAAAGAGTGGAAGCTCTTAAGGAAACGTAAAATAAAATATATATTTTAAAAAATAAAATAAAAAAATTCAAACATGAAAAACCTTATTAACGTTATAAGCTATAGCAATAGGGATCTAATTAATTTAGCAGCCTACATAGTTTATTAATGGTCACTAATTTGTCTTGACATCAAAAATGATTTTCAGTTGGCTTAAGGAATCTCTCGATATTTGCAAAAATCGTTTTTAAAATTAGCAACAACAAATAAAGTAGTAATAAAAACGAATAGAGAAGACCTAATTAATGTTACATTATTCGTCAAAACTAGTAATTAAGTCTGGTACAATTTTAGAGGTTTTAATTAGTTATATTTTAAGAGTAAAGAGTTTTTACTCAAAAAATGCAATTTAATTAGTTATAGTAGCACATTATCTATTTTTTCAGATTACAATTATATCAAAAACAATAACAATAACAATAATATATCCAGTGAATTCACAGAAGTAAGATTTGAAGAGGATAAAATATACGTAGATCTTACTACTACGTTACTATGATATAGAGTACAAATATAACATACATGAACTAGTAGTGTAAAAGAAATTCTTTGACACCATCTATCAGAATTAGAATTCGAAATGAGAATTAATAACTTACCGCAAATTATTATATATATATTTTTTTTAAAAAAAGGTATGCTTGCATGTCTATATAAAATACTAAAAGAAAATTTTCTTCCACATACAAAGTAAATAAACAATTAAAATGCACGCAAATTGACCATCACAAAAGCAATGAAAATTAAAAAGACAATTAATCATCATCAAATATCTCTCTAGCTAGTTGTAATTGTCATAATTGGAGATACAATATGGTATGTATATATATATAATAAAATGCTCTTACCAATGACAAGTTTGAAATTTTTTTAAAAAAAGGTGAACTAAAAATCCTCCAAATGTCTTTCCTTCAATTGTCTGATCTGTTTTATTTTATGTGACATGACTATTGCTGATCAAAATACGATATGTTATTATTGGTAATGGCACTAAAGTTTGCCACACTAGATGAGGCCGGTGTGTATAAATTAGAAGAAGTTGATGAAGCAGAAGAAGATGATGACGAAACCACCACCATGGAGGGTGGTGGTGGTGGTGGTGGCGGAGTAGGAGGAGCTTGTGGTAACTCAGGTGCCACAGAGGTGGAAATAGAAGCAATAAGACTATTAGCAGCTTCTCTATATTTGTATCTCAAAATTTCAGCCCTAATTGTATTAAGCTCAACTTGTAAATTTTGAATTTGTTGTTGTAGAGTTGAAATTGCACCCATGCATCCATACACTGGATCTCTTAGCCTCACATTTGCTTCATATACCAAACTATTTGCTGCATCTGCCCTTTGTCCCACAGGCACCTCCTAATTAAAAAAAAATCGTGACAAGATAAAAGTTACGTTCTAATTTATATATATTGACAGAGTAAACGAAAAATTATATTATTAACATACTGTAGCCTATTATTAGTTTATATGGGGAAAAATGGAGGGGTTCAAAATAACCTAACATTTTGATGGAACATACCTAACACATTTATATACATCACTAAAATTTCAACAAATATAAAAACTTAAACATATAATGTCAACAATTCTATATTTTTTATGGCAAAAATGTTATAGTTTATTTCTAATTAGCTTCAAGCCCTAGATCCGTCTTTGATTATACAAGCTAGTAACATAGTCAAAGATGGATGGATGATTTTCATCAAGATGGTTTCATCTATCATATATACACACAAAAAGAATTAAAATAAAAATTGACCTTCTATATATATAGAGTGTGATTTTACTGTTAAAGGGTATACTGAATTAGATGATCAACCCTTTTTCGTCACGGTTTACCCCAAGACATAACTTATTTTTAATTTAAGGATAATTATCTTTCAAGCGATTTGATAGTATAGCACGGATGATACATAAGAAGTTAAACTCAAATACAAATTGTAGATATATACCATGAGCAACTTGGAGACATTGCTGGCCCCAAAGACTTTATGAACAGCAGCAAATTTGTGAGGTTCATGTGGGGAAAAATATGGAGAAAAAGGGCATTCCTCAGCACATCTTCTTCTTAAAAGTTTACAAGCAGCACAAGGTGTAACATTGTTCAATGTTGTTCCTCCCCCAACAGGCCCCAACACCTGTCTTCTTCCCATTTGTTGTTGCATATGTAGCTGTGAAATATCTATCTCTGCCTTTAACTTCTTTCCCATCTCATCCAATATCTCCCTATTCAACACAAAAAAAAGTCAAATATAAATCAAACCAGAACCAGATTCAGAATTTGAAGTTTGTTGGTTCTGACATGTATTCGTTGAAATTCTCAATAAATATGTAGGGTTTTGACTAGATCTAATGCATTTTGTCGAATCTCTACCTTCCAAACTAACTCCGCTGCGCCGCCCCACAACATGCGACCGAACAAGGATTTTTAATAATGAGATTCAAAGTAATTAAACACAATAAGAATCTAACAGGATTCACACAAAGTTAACCGCGTATATACAGTATAATTATTTTTTGGCGAATGAACTCCTTGCGGCCCTAGCTCGGCGCCTTTGTTCATTTGACCTAATTAATCTAGCTAGTTGATCTTAAAAGGAATTTAATAACAACAACAAAGAAATTATAATGATTTGAACATGTAAATTAATTAATATTACTTACCTTTCTCTTGACATTCTATAAATGACTTGAGGTTGATGGAAGATAAGTTGCAATTAAGATGAAGATAATTGAGTTCTCAAAGGGAGAGAGGAAAATGAGAAAGGGGAGAAAAGGAATTCTTAAAAGGCATGACAAAGGTTAATTAATTAGAAGAAATAATTAATGTACTTTCACAAGAAACTAAAAAAATAGTATTGATTGCCAGCTGAGTGAAATCTTCCTCACGTGTGACTAATTGCACCTATTGACTTTTCATTACTACCAAACTTATGTTTACTTCATTTTTCAAAAATTAAATTTTGTCTAGCACAATCAAATCAGTTATTATTAAATGGTTTCAATTATTTAAATGATAAATATTTTATAATGTACAATTTTTTTATGAAATGGTTGAAATATTCTCACTCTTAATCAGATGTATCGAATTGAGCTTTTAAAAATAAAAGAAAAAAACTTATTTAGAGCCGTACCTTCAAAATAGATGAATATAATTGGACTTTAGTGTAAATATCGATCGAAAACCAAATGGGAAAGCAACGAAAAAAAGTCCAATTTCTTGTGATTGTGATGTTGCCCTTCCTATTTAGTGTCACCGTCAATAACCAAACTCGTTTGCCCGTTGAAAATATTTACATGTCGTCTTGGATTCTTACTTCAAACACTTTCAAGCTAAGACAATAACACATGATCATAGCCAAGTTATGTATATATTATACTATTAATTTTTAAGTTCTGGCTACTCGTTTTGGCGGGATAAATGATATATATATATATATATATATATATATATATATATATATATATATATATATATATATTAATCCATCCTTAAAATAATATCACATTTTCTAGAAATAATTCAACATTAACATTAATCTTAATTATCAGTGTGAAAAAATAGGAAACCAGAACCAGTAAATGGTTGCCAACATATGATTCAACTTTTAAATACATCATTTTGGATATCTTTTAGCTGCTGAAACAAAATATGATTATAAAAAATATATTGTACAATCTAACATAATATAAAAAAGGAAAAATTTCAGAAATAACAAAGATAATAGATATACGAAGGTTTTATAGCTATAGTTTTGGTAATTGCACTTCATAATTATGTATATTTCACTTGCGAATACAAACATGGTAAGTTTATACAAATTATGTACTTATACATTTAACTGTTATTCGGAAGTCCGTGTATATATTTCGCTTGTCAATATACAAATACGGTAATTTACATAGATATTTTCATAAATCGTAGTAGCTAGGAGCATATACATATTTTGAATTTATACAATCAGGAACCAAATTATATAAATTTTGTAATTATACAATCAGGATTCAACACCAAATTATACAAATTCTGGATTTATACAATTAGGAAATCAAATAGCAAAATTTCGCGAAACTGTAGTCATAGATTAAAAATAATAAAAACTATAGTTATATTACATAATATACTCTAAATATTTGTCATTTTGCATAAATTTCCCTATAAAAAATCTATTTCAAAGAAAACTTGTTGAATATAACGAAATATTATTATAGAAAATATGATATTTATTGAAAAAAGTATTTTTATAATATAAAAGTTAAACTAAAAGAATTAAGATGTGGGAACATGGAAAAACATTGGGAGGATAAAATAGATATAGTAATTATTTTAGAAAAAGAGAGTGAATGGCTTGCTTTAAATAGAAGGAAAATGCATAGATCTAAGTTTAGTTTGACCCGTATTTTTAGCCTATGAAATCGCCCTCTTGTTGACATCACACCTCACCAATTATTTACTTATCAATAATTAACCTTCACCAATTTTATAAGTAGAGTTTAATTAATGCATAAGGGTGAATATTTTGTTTACCAAGGATGCAATGGTCAATGAAGATATGCAAAAACTCATATGGTATTGTATTTTATTGTATTATACTTTGTTTGCTCCAAAAAATAAGTGTCACTTAAGCAAATAAAAGTTGATCAGAAATAATTTTTGCTTAAGAATTTTAAACAATAATTAGTAATTATTTTTAATTATAAATTTATATTGAAGAACTATTTCTTATAAATAGTGCTCAATTCTCGAGAAACATCTGATTAATACTCTGAATGATTTCTTCTTAATGGAGGTGAAAAAAATTAGATGCTTCCATTGATTTTCTAGTGAGGGAATAACTGATTTCTTTGTTACTTTATTTCCTCTCCTTCACATGCCTCATTAATTAAATTCGAGTTTTATATTCTCATTGTTAATTTGTTCATATTTATTATTCAAAGTAGCTGGGAATCTGTTGCCATGCATGTGATTTTCCACATTTTAACGTCATTTGTTATAGATAAAAAAAATAAAAATACTGTGTGTGTTCATGAAAACTAGAGGTTATATATCCTATATATATATACTTAATTTATTATGTATACAAAGATAATCTATGGTTAAAAATGCTATGCAAGTTTGATTGGGCCCTAATTTGTTTAATTTAGGATGGGTTGACAAAACTTGGGCCACATGTTCAGAAGAGTCCATTTTTAACTTGGGCCGTGATTAAGATTGGGCTTAATATTTCACATGAATTCCAGTCCAACAAAACGTGTCGTTGTTCCGATCGTCGTGTAAGTCCTATACAGAGGATAGGTTGATTTGCATAAAGAGAATTTTTTCTATGATCGGATATGAACCATGGTGTACATGAGCAAGCTTCGTAAGAACCCGTATAAGTGAATTAAATAAAACATAATCTCGATTCCATTTTATTTAGCTCATTTATAAGATTGTATAGTACGAAAAAAAATTAATATCCTCCAACACATGTCAATTCTCAACCACACAAACAACTCCCATGCATCCTTACCATTGCACACTCTATTTATCTACATTATATACAAACTAGAGAACTTATCCGCGCTTCGCGTGGTTGTAGAAAATGGTAGGATATCAATTACTTCTTCCGTCCATTTTTATTTGCCTACTGTACTAAAAATAGATGTCAAACAATACTTGTCTAATTGGAAAATCAATGAATTATTTATCTATTTGTGTCTATTTTACCTTACTATTAGATACTATTCAATATTTAATACATTTTCCAAAGCATTAAATTTAATATATTTAAAATGTAATATAATATTACCTTATTATTTATTGTTTCTTAAGGCGTTTGTTTAATGTGGATAACTACCGTAGAATTTAGCTCATCTTTTTATAATCGCTAAAAACTTGAAATTGTTTAAACTCCCTCTAACTTCTGAAATATGATACTTACACCCCCAGGAGGTTTACTTCATCAAGTTTCACCGCGAATTAATTAGTGGTGTTTGTTTAGACACTTTAGAGGGGAAAATGACATTATTTTGATATAATCTGGACATAAAATATTTCGTTAGTAGTTAGCAGACTTATTCCATCAACAACTCAATCGATGGGACTTGCTTTCCTTCCTAAAGGAAGTTAGCCAGAGCCGGTAGAAATGACTAACTGAAGATAGAGAGAGATCACCTCCATTCTCCGAATAGTAACACGGTAAAGCCAGATTATTTTGATATAATCTGGACATAAAATATTTTGTGAGAAGCCAATATGGGGACGGACCGAGGAAGGGCGATGGGTATGTTATCAGCCACTAGGGTAAATAGCCCCTTTCCCAACCCGAACTTGGTTTATCTGATGCTTGGTTGAAGCTTACTTGCAAGCACCATCAAAAGTGGGAAAAGAGCCACCTGGATTTCATTCCTTTGATCTATCTACTTCGTCCGAACCAAGTTGGTAGGCTACATCTCATTCTATTTTTCCACTGTCCAGGGCCATAACCTGCCAACGAAGCATAAGTTCTTATTTTGACAAAAAAACGTATAAAATACAAAATAAAAGAAAAATCATAGAAAGAAAATGTAAAAAAGTGCACTAATTTTTTTACGATCTTAATCATTAAAAATAGAAGAAAACAATACGAAATCAATGCACAATCTTGCGAGCTCTTGTCGACGTCCACTCCCACAAATTGATCATCATTCAATAGCCTTCATCTTATTCTTCAAGTCAAACTAAAGCATGTAAACACCAAAAACATAACAACTTAAAGAGCTAATAGTGTGATCATTTCTACAAATTCCTACAGTGTCCTTATTTATAATACTACAATATGAAATATCAAATAATGTCATGTCTATTAATTATTTTAGGGTTTACGATAATAAAAAATGTGAGTAATGAAAATAAAGATCATTAAATTACATTAACCGCTTGTTTGGATGGTTGGCATGTTTTGATTGTTAATCTAATTTTATTGTATTGTATCGTTAAACTAACCGTAATAACGAAAATTCTCATTATTCTATAAGAAATGATGAGTTCTTAACATTACACATTTAATATTACTAAGAGAATAAAATGTGTGAATTTTCAAAAAAACAAATGTAATATAGCATATAAAGTAGGAAAAAATAAAGAAAAGCTCCAAAAAGAGAAAGATACCGCAAATTCAACCTCAGTGAAATTTCTCAACATCATACTAAATCCCAATAAAGTATAAGCATATCTAAAAATAAAAATAATTCAATAGAAAAATATATTAGTAATTTCTTCAGAATCATCAATTATATATGTTTATAAGTACAAATATTTATATCAATACATCTATTTTCAAGTTAATAAAATCATAACATTTATAAGTTCTTTAGCAATAATTTTCTTTTGTACTTATTTGTGAATGAATTAGAAATTATTTTTTGGTCAAGGATGATTAGATTGCTTGAATTGTAAAATGATGCTTTTTTTTTTTGGATTTACGTAAGTAATTATTATTTTATATTATTTTTCACTTTCCTAAGTTATGACGCTATAATGAATAGTGTAATTTTGATTAAATAAATAAACAATATATTTGTATTAAAATGAAATAAAAAGTAAGAGATAAAAAAAACAGTGCATACACCATCTTTCCTGAGATTATTTCTATGCATTTTGAATGATCATAATTCTATTTTAATACCTTTCAAGCGTGACACGACCATTTCATCCTCAATAACATAAAATGTTGTATTCATTCAGTAATTTTAATGTGTATATTTCTTCGACGCCATCCCTCGCTCCTCCATTTTCTTGTCCTCTGTTATTAGATAATACTTTAATATTGCTTTTCATTGAAAAATAAATAAAAGAGGAAAAAAGAGAAAAACTTATTACATCAAAATTTGTTGTCATATTGAAGCTCTTTTACATATTGAAATTTAATTAATTTGTGTTACATAGATTCAATATTCCTTAACATGGGTCATTAAGAAATTAGGCATAGATTCAATATTCCTTAAGATTGGTGATCAATAAATTAGTTAGGTTCGCGTACCTATAAATTTTTTAAATAACCTGTATTGCACAAATTCAATATTCCTCAAGATTGGTGATAAAAAAAAAATTAGTTAAATTTTGATACATTTGAATTAGAAATGAAAAACATAAAATTCAAATTCAAAATTAATAATATTATAATGTATATGCAATTTTTAAAAGAAGATAATTGATTTTACCTTGATGAGAGCAAACCTATTTAAATATAGAGAGAAAAAATTATATCATACATGAGGAAAGAGAAAAAAAAGATGAAAATAAAATTTACAAAAAATATTATTCACAAACGACAAAGTGGATTGTTGAACTTATATTTAAAAGAAGAAGAGAGAATTGTTGAACTTACCAAATTTTAATGGAGATATTACAAAGAGAATGAAAGTGAAATCAATTTGTGCCAGGAGGAATATGACATTTTCAGTTTGTATTTGTAAGTAAAAATTGGTAGATTTTTTCTCATACATTAATACTCATAATGATGATATTTAATTTATCCAATTAAAAAGAAAAAGAGAAGAAAATCAAAGTAACATGAGGAAAATGGAGAGATTCTACGAAAGATTAATATTATAGTAATAAGGAAAGAAACAAATGAGATATAATTCATCTAATTAAAACGAAAAACTTTTGTAACATAAAGAATATAGAGAGATTCTAGGAAATTAATAGTATTTTATTGATAAGGAAAGGAATAAATGAAATAACGTTATTAGTTAACATATATGATTAGTAGGACTGATTTCAATAAATGCTAATACTAATTAATAAGGAAATATATAGTTTTTCATGACGGTTTTAAATAGAAAATAAGCAAAAATTTCAATATTCTGACAAAATAGCTAAATAGTCATTCTGACCATTGAGGCATGCCACATCATTATTCTTACATTCACCTTTATATTATTATATAGATTCTTTTATAACAAGTAACACAGAACACAAAAAAAAAAAAAAAACTAATTATTTTCCTGAAAGTATTTTTTTTTATTGCAAAAAACTAAAACATTTTCCCTCCTAGCGTACACATCCATAGAAAATGATGATTATATTATCTGCAACAGCAAGGTCATGATTATTGGTCCGACCGTCCCATGTTCATGACTCCAAGCAATTTGCTAGCTCCAGCACATTCTAAATTATTGTTTTAACGTACAAATAATTATAATGAAACTATAAGCCTTTAGTTTTGATTAAAATGGCCCACATATATTAATATATATAATATTATCCTCTAAGTAGATGAACTGTGTCTGTATAGTAATTAACACCTTTTTCTCAATCTTTTTTTTTTTTAAAAAAAAAGTCCTACTTTGGTTTTCTTTAGCGTATACATTTTGATCTTCTTTAATTCTCTTAGAAGGAAAAGAAGCTGGTATAATCAAATCAAGACGAGATGGAATGTTCATTTAACGTCTACGTGGCGTCAGCTCTATGCTTAGTTGAATAAAGCATTGGCCTTAGGCCCCCAATTTTAGAGGCCTCAAATTTTTTATCAAAAATAAATTATGAGTTAATTTTCATAGGAAAAAAAATAATTACACTTCAAAATCAACTTGTTATTGATTTTTTTGGTAACTAACTTGTATTGACAAACAAATAAATAATTATCGACATCTCAATTAAAAATTGATACAGTTGATATCAATCTTCACTTATATGAATCTTTACTAATTATGATATTATACATGTATATCAATTAAATCCAAAATATAAGCAAAGATATATAACACACAAATATAAGACAAGAAAAAGGTATATATTTACAATATGAACTTCCCCCACTCTTTTTTTTTTTTTAAACTTTACATCAACTATTTTCTTTGGAAAAAAAAAAAACAAAGCACGTCATTGCACATTTTTTCTTTTGTTTTTGTAACTTAGTAAAAAAAATTAAAAATTAAAAATTAAAAATCACCCAATGCTTGAAATTTAGCTGTCGGAAATGTGAAGCTCTGCTCCCCGTTGGCTCAAAATTACGGGCTTCAATTTATTCCTCCATACATCTTTATACAACCCATCGTCACCATCACTATTTTGAATTTCCACAACTACTAACCGTTCGGTCAATCGATATACATCCAAGCTTAGGCTCATGGTTAATTTACCATTTTGTACTTTCATTTCGATTCCCCATTCTTTTTTCTTCTTCATCCTGAAATTCTCCTTCTTCCCTACCTCTTCAATTCTCTCAATTACACTCTCCGGCGACTCTTCCACCACTATCCTTTCCAAATCATCCACCGGATTGTTCGATTTGAACAATCCAGAAATGTCTAATCCCTGGGAGAAGGAAATTATATCAAACGCATTCAAACAATTTGTTAATGAATTTATCTTAGTATTTTCTTCCTCTTCTGAGAATTTGATGAATTTCAATCCCTTTCTGAACCATGGATCTCTGATGATTTCTTCACTCGTTATTCTCGTCGCCGGATTTACATCCAGAAGACGAGATAGTATCCGCTTAACATCCGGAGAGATCCATTTCGGGCACCGGAATTCGCCTTTGTAGATTTTTTTGTACATTAACATCAGATTCTGATCGTAGAACGGGAAGTAACCGGCGATCATCACGAATAGCATAATTCCACATGACCAGATATCGGTTTTAGCTCCGTCGTATCCTTTAATCGTCAAAACCTCCGGTGCTACATACGCCGGAGATCCACAAACAGTATGTAGAAGCCCATCGAATGATTGAATTTGGTCAGTTGTAGCACTGAGTCCGAAATCGGAAACTTTCAGATCTCCATTTTCGTCAATCAGAACGTTCTCAGGTTTCAAATCGCGGTGGTAAATTCCTCGTGAATGACAGTAATTAACTGCGGAAATCAGTTGCTGAAAGCATTTCCGGCTGAGATCCTCGGTGAATCGGCCTTTACTGGAGATTTGGTTGAATAATTCTCCTCCTTTGACGTATTCCATAACGAAATAGATCTTCGTCTTCGTAGCGAGCACCTCATAGAGTCTAACAATGTATGGATGCTGCAGCTGGCGCATAATGCAAACCTCGCGCTCGATTCTATTGTTAGGAAGACCATCTTTATTCGAAATATTGCTCTTGTTAATTACTTTGATCGCGACGCTTCTTCCATTGCTGATTTCTCTAGCGTGGTACACTTTGGCAAATGCGCCACAGCCGAGTAGCTTTCCTAGCTCATATTTTCCGAATATAGGCTTCTCCGGCATCGGTAAACGGATGCCGGAATCGAATTATTTGGTTTATTAGATACGATTGATAAAGAAAAGCTAAAAGATTGGTATAAGTATAGTTATTTTATTTTCCTATGTGAATTGGTATATATATATATTGGAATATTATTTGGTTTATTAGATACGATTGATAAAGAAAAGCTAAAAGATTGGTATAAGTATAGTTATTTTATTTTCCTATGTGAATTGGTATATATATATATTGGAATAGTTCAAAAGAAGAAACTTCTTGTCTAAGCTCTAGTTTTGATATAACTGGTCTTTGAATTAGCTAGCCATCACTTCTTTTAAAAAAATAAAAAATAATTCATCGTTTCTAGTCAATAGAATAAAAGGTCGGTTTTGGCTGTGGTTTACGCGTTTTAGTCATCCAATGAATCTCAATTAAGTATTGTTTTTTTAATTATTATTTTTTTGCTTAAACAGATTATTGCTTAATTATATATATCATCCAAGCAAAAAAAAAATTCCGTCCAGTATCCATTGTTTCCTTCTTTTCTTTTTTAAAGGTTTGATATTAGGATTGAAGTTCTACTAATTTGGATATGCATCACGTAGGGCTTCATTCGGGGAGAAGAAGGAATGGTTCCTATCAAATATATTTTCATATTCAAAAGAATCAATAAGAAATTAAGAACAACATCACACTGCACCACATACTTTGATGATGTTCCCTTATCCTTTTCACACTAATGAAGATTTGAATTTTCATGTATGTAGAATGCAATCGTTTCATTAATATATATATATATATATAATTATGATTTGCGATCAATAATAGAATCAAAATATTCACTAAATATTATCGATATAAAGGGTTGCTCCGCGCTACTATAATATGTATACATACTAGCTTAGTATGAATATATTTATTCAACTATATACGATTAATGTCACATACTTGCTAGCTTTATATGAATATATTCATTCAACTATATATACGATTATTGTCTATAAATTTCAGCAGCGTTATAACAAAATCAACCTGAAAGTAACAAATATTATTTTATTCAATAAGAAGACTGAGTACATGTGAATTAATAATACTATTTTTAATAAATAATAATGGTCGGTATTAGTCCAACACGTATTGCATAAAAAATATCATGCCGGTTTAATTAAATAGTAATTAATAAGTTGTGTTAGGTGTCAAAGCTTCTAGGTTCCTTATTGTTGGTGCAGTTGAGAAATGGGAAAGGTAACAACAGAGAGTATTAGAGTAGGGAAGACTATTATCACTATAATCTAATTAAAATAATTAAGACAAAATAAAAATGTTTAGGGGAGAATGACAAGTGTCCACGGTTTAATTGACTAATAACGCGTATACTTCGTAAATTAATTAGCCCAAGGATTGCCCACATGCATTTAACACTTTTTGACAAAACCATATCTAGTAGTAGGACAATTATTACTCATATCGAATATTCACATCGCATTATATTAATTAATTAAAAGATGAATGTGTCATTTTATTAGAGGAGATATAATTTAGGAGCAGAGTTTTATAAGATAAGGTGACAGTGATCTTTGTGATGGACAGAAGAAGAGAAGTGAAATTGAAATGCTTCGAATATGTGAAAAGATGGTATATAGACGAACACACCAATTAAAATGTGTGATAGGTTGGTTATAGCAGAAGTTTACACAAGTAGAAGTAAGCAAAAATAAAAACAACAAGAAAGGTGATTAAACATAATTTGACTTAAATTTAATTTATTGAGAATATAATTCTAAATTGAACGGATGATATGACTTTAAACAAATTATCGACTGTTATGAGTTATGACACTATTTTGTTACATATTTTTATTTACGTAGCAAAAAATAAAAATGTAATTTTCATGAGACCAACATAAAATAGAATGACGGCCTGATGAAATTTACCCATATTTCCTTGGCTCTAATCCCTTCTCAACTTCATGACATTTCCGCTTCTCCTCTATTTTGCGTTGAGTCGTTTACTTTTGTCCTGCATAAATAAACTTTTTTGTAGAGCATAGATATATATTCACATTATAATATTACATAAACTTATGTCCCGTGTAATTTTGCTTATAAAGAATTTATGTTTCTCTAGGCATAAATTCAATCGTTAAAAATCAATATATTTGGAAGGGTAAAATAAATAAAAACCAGCCATTTTGAAGGATAACTCGTGTAATTTCCTCCAAAGTGAACCAGTAGTCCTCTTTGGGGAAGCTATTTAAGTTCTGGGAAAATTATATAAAATAACAAATTATTAATTCAAATTAAATGTCATACCACAGTTTGATTTTGATTGTAACCCGTAACAAACTGTTGTCATTTCGCCTTTCTTCCTAAAATTTTCTCGCCACTCTCGTTTCTCGCTGGCTCCCTCGCCCCTCTCACTTTATATACAAACACAAATGTATAAAATGCATTTGTATTTGTATAAAGTGAGAAAAAACTGTATATATACATCTCTTTTCGTTCGCCTCTCCCACTCTCCCAGATCTCGCTCGCCACTCTCTCGTCTCTCTCACTTTATACAAACACAAATGTATAAATTGCGTTTGTGTTTGTATAAAGCGAGAGAAAATTGTATATACAAATACAGATTTTCTCATGCCCAATTTTCTTTTGTCTTTATACCACATACGACGATGTTCCCTTATCCTTTTCACACTAATAAAGATTTGAATTTTCATGTAGGTAGAATGTAATCGTTCCACTAATATATAATTATGATTTGCGATCAATGATAGAATTAAAATATTTACTAAATATAACCGATATAAAGGGTTGCTCCGCCCCACTATAATATGTATACATACTAGTTTAGTATGAATATATTTATTCAACTATATTACGATTAATGTCACATACTTGCTAGCTTTATATGAATATATTCATTCAACTATATATATGATTATTGTCTATAAATTTCAGCAGCGTTATAACAAAATCAACTTGAAAGTAATAATATTGTATTTATTCAATAAGAAGACTGAGTACATGTGAATTAATAACACTATTTTTAATAAATAATAATGGTCGGTATTAGTCCAACACGTAATGCATAAAAATATCATGCCGGTTTAATTAATAAGTTATGTAAGGTGTCAAAGCTTCTAGGTTCCTTATTGTTGGTGCAGTTGAGAAATGGGAAAGGTAACAACAGAGAGTATTAGAGTAGGGAAGACTGTTAGTACTATAATCTAATTAAAATAATTAAGACAAAATAAAAATGTTTAGGGGAGAATGACAATTGTCCACGGTTTAATTGACTAATTACGCGTATACTTCGTAAATTAATTAGCCCAAGGACTGCCCACATGCATTTAACACTTATTGACAAAACCATATCTAGTAGTAGGACAATTATTACTCATATCGGATATTCACATCACATTATATTAATTATAGGGAAAAAGGATAAATATATTTTTGAACTATCGTAAATGATATGCAGATATCCTTCGTCATACTATTGGAACATTGATGCCCCTGTCGTCTTAAAACTATAGCATATATGCCCTTCACTCTAACGGAAGACTAAATAAGGACACGTGGCACAATCTTATCCGTCGATCCGATATTTTATCGGCGGATAAGATCATGACACGTGTATGTCCGTTAGTATAAAGGGTATATATGCTTTAATTTTTGGACGGCATGGGCACCAATATCCCAAAAGTATGACGAAGAGTATCTGCATACCATTTACAATTGTTCGGGGGTATATTTGTCCTTTTTCCCTTAATTAAAGATGAATGTGTCATTTTATTAGAGGAGATATACTTTTACATTACTTTTTTTTTGTAGAGCATAAATATATATTCACATTATAATATTACATAAACTTATGTCCCGTGTACTTTTGCTTTTAAAGAATTTATGTTTTTTTAGGCATAAATTCAATCGTTAAAGATCAATATATTTGGAAGGGTAAAATAAATAAAAACCAGCCATTTTGAAGGATAATTTGCGCAATTTCCACCATATTCCAATGGTGCATAGACTTAAAATGGGACGAAGTGAACCAGTAGTCCTCTTTGGGGCAGCTATTTAAGTTTTAACCGAATTTTCAAATTATTTAAAACTTAGCCTCTTTTTTTTTTTAAAAAAAGAATACTTCTCTTCACATTTTTTTTTTCATTCAATGTCCACTACCTATAACAGAGTTCCACTAAATTAAGTTTTTGCTTTGAAGTAAAGTGTTCCCTAACAAAAACGCCTAATAATTTAGCACAATTCTTTAGATTATAAAAATTCTGTCACCTTTTTCTTAATAGACTGCCGATTGAAGGTTGAAAAAATCTGAAACCCTAAGACCAAAAATCGTATCAATGTCAATGATAACCGCCGATTATCCGGCAGTAATCTATTTCCGCAATGGATTGCATGAATATTATAAGATTGATTTAGATTCCTTGCCGGAAAGACTTTCTCCGATTGCCAATTTCACTGAAGATTTTCCAGTGTGGACCGTTATTGATGAATGCATCGGAGGAAGGAAGGAAGCTAACGAAACAAACCATTTCACCGTCGGTATGAACTTGAATAAATATAGTAAAAACACAAATCCTAATTCTAATTCTACCTGGGAACTATATTTTTAAACGAATGGAAATAGATGCGACCAGATTTAAAAAAAATTCAAGCAACATAACTGATCTGGTATTGCTTGATAAATTTCAATGTCTTACAACAGAAAAGGCTGTAATTAAGGTAAATGATCATATACTGGTAAAGTTGTTGCCATGTGATCAGTAGAAATGCAAGCAAGACTGTGTATAACAGGCTCTTGTGGTCGGGCCCTTTTCCGAACCCTGTGCATAGTGCACCAGGCTGCTCGATCATTGCATGATTTTCTGTGGACTGTTGATATCATCCTTATAGGTATTGGAAAACAAATCCTTGCATAGTTCACCATAGAATCTGCAGACTAAGTCAATAAAAACAGGGCTTTTTAAATTCTTCCAACAGTACAACAATTCTTCTACATCCATTATATCCCTCATTTTCCCTTCTTCAACAATCATTTCAGCCAGATAATTCTCGAAGCTTCTACATGCATCTTCAACATCATCCTGAAATATTACTACTTCCTTTTTAGTAGCTCCACTTAATCTTGCATAAGCTGGAGTAATTGGTGAAGGAACTGGTGCTTTAATATGCCCTGCATTGCAAAATATCGACACATTTTTAGTAATTTGTTCAACCTGTTTAAGTTTATACGGGTTGAGTTATGACTTATTCGTTAGTTTGACACATATTATTGGGTCCAAATGACTCAAAATAGTGTATGCAATCTAAGTCCTGAGTCCTGACACATACAAAATGAAATTAATTTGGTACCCAAAATATTTCGCTGATAATTTAATAAAAATGCAGAGTATATTTCACGTTCACTTAAGGTCCAAAGCCGGAGAAGGCTTGCACCTTAAGGGAGGGCGATGCAGGTAGTCAATCATAATGCAAGCATTAATAGTAGTTGATTCCACAATCGGAACCGGTGACATGTAGATTATGTCATGTTTGGTGTATCAATAATGACCCGCTGTTTGACTCAAAGAAATTTTGGTCAATGATCATGACCGTTTATTGATTTGAGTCATTTAACATGTTCAAGTTTTACTATGTACACCCGCCCATTTGCCACCTTTACCTGAGAAACTCTTGAGTGCCATGACTTGGTCCTCCTCTCTTGGTTTTGATCTCCTTATCGAACGAAACACTGAAAGAACTTGTGAAGCTTGCTTTCTACGGGTGCTTGTATTGCTTTCACATTTTATTGAAGGGCGAAAAAATCGAAGCCTTTTTATAAAGAGAGGCTTTCTTAATTTGAACTTGAACAACTTCACTATTTTCTTGCATGGATTATTGAATTTCAAGCAACATGAAGTGTTCATTTTCATATTTTTTTTGTACCTCAAACGGTTGAGAAAAGAGTGTGGATGAAGTATAAAAACTGAACGATGGTTTTAATTTGGTATTGACAAGAGAGTTGTGTGGTGTTATATGAGATTAAATTTGTTGACTTTGGTGTATTTTGGAGAATAATATGTTGTTGGTTGCACGTTTGATATAAAAGAGGAAATTAAAAGTGGTGTACCATGAAAGAAATGTCACCAACTCTTGTTAGCTAGTTTTAATTATATATATTACTAATACAATATAGTTCTGATCTACATTTTAGTTTGTGAACGGACGTGATGGTTGTTAAGATCAAAGATAAACAATTATGGATGATATATATATATATATATATTATATACCATCAAGAATGTGGCGGGATGAAATGAGATCCTTCTAATCATACTTTGATGTATCATATTCGACTTTCAAGCCCCTAAAATGAGGAAACTCAATAAAGGGTGCAAATATGAATTAGTCGAGTTGGTATGAATTCTCAATACCAAATGATATTTTACGAAAAGAAAAAGATAAACAAGATGATTTCAAGAAGCATTAATCTATCTGTCAACAACAATTATATGGTGATACACTTTAGTCTCACACCTTTGTATCCTTTCATCTTATAATCAAGAATTTCTACTAGCAAAAAAAGTTCACACTATTGGGCCCAAAATAATTTTCCTGGAGGCATGTTTTGAGTCCAATAGTCCATGTAATCATGGGCCTATTAGCCCATACCTTCCATAATTATGGGCCTATTATGCATCATAATAAAAAAGCTCAGTCTTTGCTCCTTCTTTAGCTAAAATATTCACTACCCTGTTCTGTTCGCCCTAAGTGTGTCTAAGTATTGAATTCCCAATTTACTTCATCAATAATGACCTAAATTCACATAAGCTTGCGTTATAAATTAAGTTCCTTTTCTCGAATAAATTACTTACCTCCATAGAGTCCGAGGAAAATCACATTTGTATGATTATAACTTTAATAAAAAGCAAGACTTATATGAGATACAAGTAATTTGGAAACTTCACTTGCATGCAATGTATATAATATGTCTCCATTTTAACGCATGCTGGAAAAATTGTGGACTATATATTATACCTTTTAATAGTAAAATAAAAATTGATCACTTGCCATAATTCCTGGAGGACTTGCTTGTTTGGTGACCACAACCTTTCCATAGACATATCACTATGGGCATGTGTTGTTACTAATGATAAATCATCATCATTTTGTCATTGCATTTTTTATTTTATTTTTTATGAAGGGGCCAAGTCAGACTTCATAAAGTCCCACATAATTTACTCATATCCAATAAACAAATTAATGGACAACTGATAATTCCTCAAAAATGTCAGAAAAGCAAAAAAAAAGAAAAGGGGGGACACAATTCTTCATTTTATCTCTAGTGAAATTCTAAAAGATAGCTAGTATGTTGCTCTTCTAAAGCATTTTGGTTGCTTTCTCCTCCTGACTTCCTTTTTCTATTCTTTTTGCCTATTGGATGGGCCACTTGCATAACCAGAATTTTCATCGAGAAAGTTCAACATCTATTTATTATATATATGTATAAAAAATATTTACTTTGTATATATACACTATAATTTTTTATTGAAGAGCTCCGTGCTCAGGGGATTGATGGGTAGAGGAAGAAGAGAGTTCATTTCCCTTTGCAGAAAAATCACACAAAATAATGAACCTCTTGGTAAAAATTCTGTTTTCGTCACTGGCCGATGCTGATTTATACGATCAGAGTATGGACCAAAATCATTATTTTAAAATAGGTGTAACAGTTTGTGACTTTTCATTACTGTCTGAAGTATGAAAAAACTAAACTTCCCCATAACCTGCCCAATTTATGTATTGCCAAAATCATAATAAGTACTCCGTTTCAAGATTCAAACATGTCTATTTCATGCGCAAATTCTCAGTTAAACTTAAATTGTTTTGACTTTCGAAAAATAAAAAACGTCGCATAAATTGGGATAGAGGGAGTAACACATAGTAGCTGGCTTACATACATAAAATAGAAACCACTGTTTAGTCTGTGCTCCACTTGCTTCTTCATCACATATCTTCCTATAGGGTCCCCCTCTTCCTTTTTTCAACACTACTTATTTAGCACAAACTTTCATTATTTTGCTTAGAAAGAAGCAAAGTTGTTCCTCCAATGGGAAATCACAAGTTCAAGTTTTCAGATATGATGCCAAACACTTGGTTTTACAAGCTTAAAGATATGAGCAAAACCAAAAACCATAAATCCCCATTTTCATCTTCTTCTACAAATAAGTCACAATATTCTCAACCAAGATCATCATTTTCTTATACTAGAAGGTCCATTAGAGTTGACAAAATTTATAATTCTCATTCTTATAGCTTTCTTGATCAACCAAGAAGATCATCATCATCGTCGTCATCTAAGAAAAAATCCAAGAGAAAAACTATTTACAAGCCTTCTCCTAAACACATTCCTTCTTCTTCTGTTTCCAACTACGTCTCAGTCTCAAACAAGTTAAATTCATCTTCTCCTATTTACTCAACAGAAGAAGATAAATTCCCTGAATTAGATTTCCTCAACTCTCCATCCTCAGAATTAGACTCTGTTGATTCTCAATCATTCAATGAACTTGGCTCGAATTGGCCAAATTCTTGTAGTTGTCACTTCACTTCTTCAGCTACCGATATAATCATAGACATGAATGATAAAGCTCACTTGAATGAATTCCACAATCTTAATACAGAGTACGCGGAAATTTCAGATATTGATCAACTCCCTCCGATCATTACAAAGACATCGAATTCCATCAAGAACATAAACCAGGACGAAAATGTGAAGGCTCAACGAGAAAAGGAAGCTAAAAACAGAGTAGGTTCCCCTGTTTCGAGAAAACATTATTCTAGCTCTTCTGGTGTAAAACTACGAACAAATTCTACTAAAGTAGCGAGCAAGAGAAATAGTGTGTCATCATCAAAAAGGCGTTCGAAGGTAAAAAAAGAGAGTTGTTCAACTTCAACAGGGACTAGTTTTGCTATAGTGAAGGCTTCAATTGATCCTGAGAAAGATTTTAGAGAATCTATGATCGAAATGGTTGTCGAAAACAATATCAGGGCATCGAAAGACTTGGAAAATCTTCTTGCTTGTTATCTTTCATTGAATTCAAATGAATATCATGATCTTATTATAAAGGCATTTGAACAAATATGGTTCAACTTGTCTAACCTTCACTTGTAAAAATTTACTAGTATTCTCATTTCTTCTAAAAATGTTGAAAGCACTACTATTTTAAATTTTTTAGTTAACTAACTTGTTCATAGCTGCAAAATATTGTACTTTTTGATCTTTTCTTCCCCTTTCTGATGAGTATATATTTGAATATTCTGTTGGAAAACCCTTTATTTTCCGGTAAAGAATGTAAATAGGGCAGGGCAGAACCGGGCAAGGCAAGCCTTAACTTGTCAAAGGTTTAACCCTGCCCGTCTTGTCCTGTCCTGCCCTATTTAAATTTCGGGGGAGTTGTAAAGCTAGAAGCCGAAAGTATTAGAAATAAGGATAAATTGTGAAATAATTCATTTTTCACGTCCGCGAGCTTTAGAAAGGAGAAGGGAAGCGTCAAATCCACCTTTTGCCTCTATTTTCATTTTTCAGGTCTGCGAGCTTATTCTTTTTCTCTAGATTTTACAAGTTCATTAAAGATTAATTTCTAATAAAGTTTTTTTAAAAATATCGTCTTAGTTTACAAGGAACACTTGCCCTTTATTTTTCTAACGAAATCCTGCTTTGATACAAGATTAAGTTGTAAACTTTTATGTGAGATGAACATGTACTTTATTTCACATTTTTTTTGTCGACCCAAATTATTTAGTTGATCATTCACTTTCTAGTGTAGACAGAAGAGGTCCACATTAGAATTAAGATAGTGCAAATACAGAATGTGAAGAAAATATATTGCAAATCATAAATAAAGTGTGCATTGTTGTCATAAAGTAAAAGGTGGCCTTCTCTATTACATAATTGTCAAAATGAGTGAACAAAGACAGAGATAATTAAGGTACCCTATTGGCTGCCTTTTGCACAAATTAATAATGCAAATTTTTTAGCTGTTCATTGATCGTCAAGTTTCCTTTTTTGGGAACAGTATTAATTGTCTTATCAAAAAGATGTTTCCTATTAAAAAAAATAAAGTTTGAGAGTGAATAATGTTAAGTCTAATTCTTCATGGTAATTATGGAGATTAATGAAAAGGACCACAAAGATGTAAATATATAGGACAAATTAAAGATGTACGTTATGTTTCAATTGTGTTGGACATTTAGAATCTTGTGAGTTGCTAGTGCCTATTGTTGTTAGAAACTTAGTTGAGGGATATGTCTGATTAATTATTAAAGATCGTCCATAATAGATAAAGATAACCTGATAATATATATTCTTTGTATCATTGATATATATATCTTAAATTAATAATAATAATAATAATATCATACTTGAAATTTAGACCTCTATCCTACCTCACCCTCTTAACTCCCCCTTCCACGAGATTAGTTCAAACCTTAGATTTACTATATGATTAAATGAATGAATTCAAAATCAATAAACTCAAATTAACAATAGGTACAAGTCTTAGTGCATACATTTAAATTTAAAAATAAAATAAAATTAAGGGATGTGTATTCATTCAGGCACTCAGTATCGTAGCTAAATGTATTAGTCGAACATTCTTCATCGAATTTCTTTTATATATATTTATATGTGTGTGTGAAAATAAGTTTCATAGGTACATATTTAATCTTGAACACTCTTAAATATGCCCTTTAATTTGGCCTCATTTAACATTTATACCCTCCAACTTTGGATGTGCACAAATAGACACTTAAACTTGTATAAAGTTGAACAAGTAGACACATGAGTCTTATGCGGCATAATACACATAGGACACCACGTAGGACGCAAATTGTCATGTAGGATGCCACATAGGATGTGTGTGTCTATTTGTTCAATTTTATACAAATTTAAATGTCTACTCGTGCACACTTAAAGTTAAAGAATATAAATATAAAATGAGGCAAAATTAAAAAGCATATTTATGTATTATGCCCAAAAAATTTGACTATGCCACTGCATGGTTAGTACATAAGTTGCAGCCAACATGTAACTAGAAACAAAGAGAGAGAAATTGACAACGTTAACACTAACACCCGACCCGAATTTTGTGCGTTGAATGTATGTTTTTGTCGTTGATCGAAAAACAGGGTCGTTAGGGAAATTTTAGTACCAAACTCCATCTAGTCACGAGAGCACAATCCAGAATTAAATGTTTTCCAATTACTCACTCTTTGATTATTGCGTAAGAAAGCAAATAAATATTGTAAAAAATCTTTAAAAATAGTATGGGATAGGGTGGTATGGGGGCTAAGAGGCAGTGATGAAGCCAAAATTTCGATTAAGAGATGTCAAAAACAAAAAAAGTAAAATCGCTTGATGTCAAGGAAGGTCGATATGTGATGTATATATATTAAATATTTTTATTTAGCTACACAGTGTAATTTTCCGACTCCTCAAGTATATGTGGTTCCACTGCTAGTTGGAGGTTTGGGAGGAGACAATATAATGAGCTTGAAATGCTACTTATGAGATTTAATGAGTACAACTTATTAAAGGGAAACTACGGAAAAAAAAATCTTAGAGCTAGTTGTCTAAATCATCAACAACTCCGGAATTAATGTGCTCTTTTTTATGCTAGAGTCGTTTTTTCTGCTCAAGGGAAAGTCATATTCATAATTTTTAAACAACTTAGTTTTCTTCAAAATATTTTCACAAACCAAGCATGAAAAATTAGAAAATATTTTTGATCATACCAAGCACACTCTTAATTAATATTAGCAAGAAAATCAAGATTAAATTTTTAACCCTTATTTTTTTTTTTTAACAATCTAGTCCCACTAAGACGATGAGGTGTGGAAACAAACTTCCGAGAGAGCTGCTTTTGCCTCGAGTATTCAGAATCTATTGATTAGATTAATTCAAAATCAAGTCGGTCACTTAAGAGGAAAGCAATTCATACCAATAATCGTTAGTAAAAGAATCATATTCATTCACCTCCTTACGATTTACCCCTTTTAATTGAAGTAAAGAAAGAACCAAGAAGATGCATTCACCAATTACAGTTAAAACTATAATGTCCTTTGTATACCTGGAAATCAAAATGACCTTTGGGAAAAAGTGAAGCCTCATCATTCATTAAAGATCCACCATGAAGATTCTGTTAACAAAAGTGTAACAAGCATGGGGCAAATATACCATTACTTTGCCCTATTAATCAATTATTGAACATTATAACTCACATAGCATGCCATACACATCAATAAAAATGCCCTTCACATATTATTATTGCACAAAATTAACTATTTTATGGTCACAATTAGATAAGAGAGACAAAAGTAACCCATACAAACATGACTCAATACCCTTCAAACTATTTATTAACTCAGTCCATTTTAATCTGTTCAATTCAATTCAGTTAAGTTAAGAGTTCAGGTTGAAATGTAAATCAAATTGATCCATGAGGAACTTTGTTAAAAAATTTATTATATATAATTATAATAAAGAAAAAAGAAGGGTTGTTAAGTGCTTAAGTAAATTATTAAAATCAAACAAAGTATATAAAATTTAGTAAGAGGGGATGGTTTGGATTACGACCTACAGTTTAGTCTATTTTGACTCATTCAAAAAAACCAACCCATTTTGACCCATTAGCTGATCTCAGTAGCGTGAGCTTGTGACTAAGTAGGTAGTAAGGTGTTGGAGACAACCATGGTTAGTCCTATGAGGTAAACAGGGGTCAAAAGTTCAAGATTGTCCATTTTAAAGATTATTGAGCGTAATTTCCTGTCAAAAATGCTAGGTATGCAAAAGCTCATTTGGCCCTTATAAAAGAAAAAACTATTTTAACCAATCTAAAATCAATCGATCTGCTTATTTGATATTCTATAATCAGGCAAGAATATAATTTGTTTGGAAAGTATAGTGAAAATGGAGTTGTTGTAAATGGCACAAACTAAACGATACACTATATATAGCAAATTATGGGCCTATTCTCAAGGCTTTTTTTCGTAAGATTTAGATCTTTAGACCATGGTCTAAAAGGTTCATAAGTTTTCGAACAACCAACAGTCTAATGTTTTGTCAGTCCCAAGAGTAATATTTGCACAAATTGCAAGAGGGTGTTATTCTTCCATTGCTTGAAGGAAGAAATGAACAAAATTTGAACAACACTTTTATTGTCATTTACAATTACATCAGCTGCTTAATTCAAACTCTGATCTGCTTAAAACTACCATATGTATCGTCCTTACTATTTAAATTACATATTTTGTAGAAGAGAAATCAATGTCTTCTTGGTTTGTGACCTTGTCCCTTACCATCACTCGACAATGTCATCGAATTAGTACAATTCATCGATCTAGGACTCCTCTTCAAATCCTCGTAAGGTTGTTGAAACCCGATGTTTTCAACAGCACCAACAGTCTTGAACAATCGTCTCTTGTGCACTTCTTCCACCAATGACTTGTGCAACAACTGACTCCGCATATCAACTAAGGACTTGTTCCTTGTTAGTCTACGTGTATCATCATTACCTTTCCCTTTAGAGGTGGAAGAAGTTCCTTTTGATTCTAGCATAGCTTTGCATTGCTTGTAGCACGTTCTTGCCAAAGACTGTCCGGTGCTTGAGTTTTCCTCAGGGCAGAATCGCGAAGTGTGGTGACTAATTGCAGTAGCTGGTTGACTTTGTCTTGTAGAGGTGGTCACAGGATCATTCTCATCATCAGAGAAGTAATTGAAGTTGGAATAATTTGCAGAGTGTGATGAGCATTGAGAGCTCGTGTCATCAAACATATCACCTGCAAGAGCAAAATGCATATAAACAATCACGTCTTGGTAACTTTTTTCTGGTCGAAATAAGTATGCTAGTCCTTTAATATTACTCAACTAACACATATGTGGTTCATTCTCAACATTGCGAACTAATACTCAAGTTGATTGAATAAAATCTTTCGACGATAGAGCAAAGATAGAACGTGTGTGGAAATGGTAATATAAAACTAGATCAGATAAATAATGATACCATGAAGCCAACGCCGGTCATTGGTATTTGTGTCAATCACTTGAGAGGAGAGCAGACCTGACAATGATACTTGGGAAGATGAAGAAGACGAGAAACCTTGGAAAGGATTATGGCGATCGTTATCATCATCCTTATAGCTCAGAACATGGTAATCGGAGGATTC